TTAGATTTATACTCACCATATCATCTTGTTTAACTTTTTCTTTGCTCTGAATCACATGGCGTGCCATAATCAAGCGCTCTTCGTGCCAAGTCTGGCACTCGAGCCAAAGGTTGCCGACCTCCGATTTAGTGCCTCACCTTGAGTTAGTTTATTTCTCATCCTCGAAATATCGAAGGGATTTAAAGTGAAGCTTTTATCCCGTCCCTGTATTTCCCCCATTCCCTGTGTTTTCCTTCCCCCAGTCTCTCCTGTTGGCTGTCTTCAACCTTGCACATTCATTGCGCAAAAAACATGCTGATGTCAGATTTCGCACATAATGTGGCCCTAACGCTGAATCTGGTTTACTGAAGTGCCTTTCCTACTAGAATGATTAGTTAGTGATTAAAATATTCAGGATTACTTGTTCTTACGATACGAAGCGTTATGATAAAGATACGACCATTGTTTTCCAAATCTGATTAGCTATATCGATAAGAGAAACAAATGTAACACGAAGACAAACAAATTTTATTATACGCTTATAATTAATTCGTTTCTGTATTTTGTTTATCAAATGTTTCGTGTGCTTACTGTTAGTAACACTTTCTCCTACATTCGATGTTCATTCAGTTATTAGTGTCGAGTTAGTTTACAGCGATGAAAGTAAAAAAAAAAAAAAAAGACGCCCATCATGACTAAAGCACATAGGCTGGCACAGTTCCTGGGCACGAGCCACTTACAATAATTCTAATAATGATAACAATAACAGTCATAATAACTATAATAATAACTAGGAGCACTCAGATAGCGCATAATTCCGTCAAGGCAATAGAGGTAACGCAATTTCCCCCCAAATAAATCCTGGATCCTGATCACCATCAATTTTTAATGGCATCTAAGTGATAATAATAATAATAAATTATAATAATAATGATCATTATTATTATCATTCATTATCTTTAATTATCAATATTGTCATGATAATAGTAATGCTAATCATAGTAGTAGTAATAATGATAAGGATGATAGTAATGATAATGATGACAGTTCTAGCAGAAAAACAGAGAATAAGCAGATTCTTAAGCAGACACAAAATCTTACAACACGGAGCTCTCAAGACGTGAAGTGGGACTGAAGAATAGGCTTGTGAATTATGGAAGGAAAATCTGATTTATTACTTCATTATTTTAGGCAAATTATATGCATTTAGATTTTTAAAGTAATCTTGCTCGCATTACTTTTTCAAATTGATATTGATGTCATTACCATTACCTTCATCATTTCTGCAATAATTACTGTTATTATCACATTATTTATGATTGCAGTTTTAATTGTAATTTTCGTAATTATCATAATCGTTTTAGCTTTATTGGAACCATTATTATTGCTGTTATTATGATCATTACCGTCGGTATCCAAGAGAGGATTTAGTGTTCGGCAAGCTTCTTTGTTTGTTTGTTTTTATCATTTGTTGGGGATTTCGTCTTTTGTTGAGCAGCCTTGTGTGGAAGGATATATCAAAACAAAATATAATCTAAAGGTTTATATAACCAAACAATCAAACAAAACCATACAGTGATGATAGCAAGTAAACATTACTTAATAAATGAACAATTCCACATCTCTTCAACGAAAGAGATATAAAATTTTATTTATTTACACATAAACTTTTGAACTGACCGATAAAAAAAGATCAGCTTTAACATCAAAATACAAAATTCAGCTATCTTAATAAAACAAAACAAAAAAATCACAGCAATCAGCAGACAATCTCTTTAACTTGTAGATTTGTGACAAAGTGTGACAAATTTATCACTGAAACGGGCGAACAAGTAGCATAACAGTGACCAAAACCACCGACATTTCAGCTCTCATCGGAAGGGCGGTGTTTGCTTCGTCTATCACTGAAAAAAATATGTAAAGGAAATGTTTATGTTGTGTTCGATGCATTTATCTTATCGTCCTTATCATTTCCACTACATATGTTTTTTATTGCTATTTCTTTCATTATCGTCGCAGTTATGTTTCATGATCATCATCGTATTTCAATTAATTATTGTTGGAGGCCATATTGTATCCTTCGTTCATGTTCTTTTTTCACATATTTATGTCTTAATAATATATATATATATATATATATATATAATGTGTATAATATAATATATATGTGTGTGTGTGTGTGTGTGTGTGTGTGTGTGTGTGTGTGTGTGTGTGTGTGTGTGTGTGTGTGTGTGTGTGTGTGTGTGTGGTGGTGTTGTTTATGTTATGTTTCATGTTTACGTATATATACATATACAGATATATATATCAGATATATTATGTTATATATACATTTAGGTGTTATATATATACATTAAGTATGTTATATATATATATATATATATATATATATATATATATATATATATATATATACATATATATATATATATATATATATATATATATATATATATATATATATACGCACACTTATGTATGTATGCATATACATATACATGTACACACAATCATAAATGTATAAATATAAGGATGTGCAGACGCAATGACGGACGCGGCCAGGGCCTCCGCCCGGACGCCCACCTACCGCAGTGCAAGTCCCGGTGGCGCGGCATCCCCTGACGGCCACCCACGCCCACGTCGTTTCGTCGCAGGTGGAGCGTGGTCTCGTTAGTGTGACCCCTCTGCCCTGTACCCTTCTTCGCAGGTCACCTTAGCCTGGGTGCAAGTAAGGGTTAAAGAAGTTACAGAGAGAGAGGGGGGAGGGAGGGGGGGAGGGAGGGAGGGAGGGAGGAGGGAGGGAGGGAGGGAGGGAGGGGGAGAGGGGGAGAGGAGAGAGAGAGAGGAGGGAGGAGAGGGAGGAGGGAGAGGGGAGAGAGGGAGGGAGGAGGGAGGGAGGGAGGGAAGGGGGGGAGGGAGGAGAGGAGAGAGAGGAAGAGAGAGAGAGAGAGAGAGAGGAAGAGAGAGAGAGAGAGAGAGAGAGAGAGAGAGAGGAGAGAGAGAGAGGAGAGAGAGGGAGAGGAGAGAGAGAGAGAGAGAGAGAGAGAGAGAGAGAGAGAGAGAGAGAGAGAGAGAGAGAGAGAGAGAGAGAGAGAGAGAGAGAGGAGAGAGAGAGAGTGAGGAGAGAGAGAGAGAGAGAGTCTAACAATCAGACACATACAGAGACATACAAAATAACAAAGAAAATAATGAATTATGAGTCTGTATGTTAAGTATGTTTGTGTAGAGAATCGTAATATCTATATGAAGGTGTCTTTATAGTGCTCTCAGACCAACAGGTCGAATATGCGTTTATTAATTTTTTTGTTAGTTCAAGCTTTCGTCTATTATATAAACATCGATGTTCTCGTCAATGTACTCTCTCATAATTGCAATGCATTATCGTATAAATATCAAAGCACATTTTTCAGACAACATTTAAGAAAATTAATTTAAGAAAAGGATTAACGTTTTTTCAGGTAACTTGTTAGATCATCTGTGGACGCGCATACCTCCAAATATAATTGCTAAAAAGTGTATGTACGCTTTCATACCGTTCCATTTTCCATCAGTCCTAAAGCCAAAACCACTAGTTCACAGGGCTATCACACGAACACAAGCTACAGATGAGGGAGATGAACATGAAACAATTAGTTCACAGGGCTATCACACGAACACAAGCTACAGATGAGGGAGATGAACATGAAACAATTAGTTCACAGGGCTATCACACGAACACAGCTACAGATGAGGAGATGAACATGAAACAATTAGTTCACAGGGCTATCACACGAACACAAGCTACAGATGAGGGAGATGAACATGAAACAATTAGTTCACAGGGCTATCACACGAACACAAGCTACAGATGAGGGAGATGAACATGAAACAATTAGTTCACAGGGCTATCACACGAACACAAGCTACGAACATGAAACATTAGTTCAAGGGCTATCACACGAGCTGATGAGGGAGATGAACATGAAACAATTAGTTCACAGGCTATCACACGAACACAAGCTACTAATGAAGGAGATGAACATGAAACAATTAGTTCACAGGGCTATCACACGAACACAAGCTACAGATTGAAGGAGATGAACATGAAACAATTAGTTCACAGGGCTATCACACGAACACAAGCTACTAATGAGGGAGATGAACATAAACAGCCATACCGTGAGTGGATCCGGTCCAGTTGGCATCCTCTTGCCCCGACAGGTGGTTCGGTCAGTGCTGTAGTGAACCACCTGGTACTCCTGAGTCCTCAGAGGAGCACACCCGCGCTCTTGCCCTGTGGTGTTGATTTAATAACTGATTAATTTGATTTTATGTCAATTATTTTTGTCAATGGTATTCTATCGACAAATGTTGCTGAATTAAATTTCTCTCACTTTTCTTCTTTACATTTCTCAGAGAAAAAAAAAAAACATAAAAAAACGAGTATATGCATATCTATATGAACACACGTGTGCACATATACTCATATATAAAGACGTCCAAAAGGAAAATAAAGCGCATATTGTTGGCTCTGAAAATTGACAGAATTTTCCAAAAATGACTAACACGTCTGGTCGTAGGATCTTTTGGTCTCGAGAGAAATGTAGTTGTTGTCACTCTTGGTCACGCCCACTGTTGTCAGGAACACGGTGTCAAGGGGAGTGTCCGCATCTATCTGTTAATAGAGAAAATACGAAAGAAAATGAGAAGAGAATATTAAATAAGTCAAAATATCAAGAAAGTAAAATGAGAATGTTAAGTAGACCAACATGCCAGGACAGTAAGGAGAGAATATCAAATAAATTTTAAATTATCAAGAAAGTAAAATGAAGAAAAATGTCAAGAAAGTAAGAAGAGAACGTCAAATAAATCAAAATACCAAGAAAAAAGATAATAATAAAAATAAATCAAATGGAATGGAATAAAATGCGATTCACCCTTTAAGAAGTATGAAAAACAAGACAGAGGAGAGAGAGAGAAAAAAAGTTATATAAGAATAGACAGAAATCAAGTCATGCAGTACGGCAGGGTCCCATTGTGCA